TTTCTGTCTTTCCTAAGTCCACAGTTAAGTCAGCAGTAGTAGCTGTTCTATCTGTCTCCACTGTGGTCAGGGAATAAATCATTCAATTTTTCAAAAAATCTTAAAATCCAAAGTAATCCACCCCACGGCATATTGGAGTAAGACAAAGAGAGGAGCCAGCACCTACAAGGGCTGTTACTTTTCATATAAACAATGGCAAAAAAATAAAACCTGGAAGCTGCATTAAGCCTGGAAGCTTAATTCCGCATAATCAAAGAGGTTTGGTGTTATCTTCTATTGATTTCTTTGGCAGGTCTCCAAGATTTCCTGCCTAATGCCTTCATTGTCTCTCCCTTTCAATGTGCAATTCTATTCTTAGACTGAACTCCTGTGCAATAGTTGGCTCCTGAAGGAAAGTTGATTCTTTAGCTTAAAACAACTTACTCAAAGGATGCATTTTGAACAATCTTTTCTATGCTATTATATTTTCCCATGCTATTAAATAAAAAAAAAAACCAAAGTGAAATGAACATCCACACTTGGCTTTTTTTTTATTTCAGGCTGAAAAATAATCTGACTTGTATTAAGGCTACAAACCTATACATTCTGGCTGTCAATACAAGGGTGTGCTAAACATTTTTGTTACTAGTGCATGGGATTTTATCTTTAGTGGTGCAAAGTTAATTAAAAATAGCTACAGAAGATGTGTTTCCTTATGTGAAAGTTGCATGTCTGCCCAAAGCATGGTTATAATAGCAATAAATGGTCTAATGCGCCATTTCTGCTTTCACTCCAATTTATGGGTTACTTTGAAACCTGTTCTATATTAGCAGTGTCTACCATCAAAGGAAGGAAGGAAGGAAGGAAGGAAGGAAGGAAGGAAGGAAGGAAGGAAGGAAGGAAGAAGGAAAGAAGGAAAGAAGGAAAGAAGGAAAGAAGAAAAGAAGGAAGGAAGGAAAGAAGGAAAGAAGGAAAGAAGGAAAGAAGGAAAGAAGGAAGGAAGGAAGGAAGAAAGAAGGAAAGAAGGAAAGAAGGAAAGAAGGAAAGAAGGAAAGAAGGAAAGAAGGAAAGAAGGAAAGAAGGAAAGAAGGAAAGAAGGAAGGAATCCAATCAAACTGGAAAAAATATCTTGTTTCAGCCGATGGTTTATTGACTGAAATAAAGGCGACTGATTGAATATCTTGCAGTTCACTAGTACAATAGACTCTCATGTCCCTTCCACACAGCTGTATAAAATCCACATTGAACTGGATTATATGGCAGTGTGGACTCAGATAACCCAGTTTAAAGCAGATATTATGGATTATCTGCTTTGATATTCTGGGTAATATGGCTATGTGGAAGGGCCGTCAGTGAACCGGCACCTGTGGGGATTGGTGGATAATTGTACTTTCTGGTTGCTTGAGAGTTACTCGTTATAATAATAATAATAATAATAATAATAATAATTGTTATTATTATCATTGGAGCCCCCGGTGGCGCAGTGGGTTAAAGCACCGTGCCGGCAGGACTGAAGATCGACAGGTCGCAAGTTCAAATCCAGGGAGAGGCGGATGAGCTCCCTCTATTAGCTCCAGCTCCTCATGCGGGGACATGAGAGAAGCCTCCCACAAGGATGATACAACATCAAAAATCACCCAGGCGTCCCCTGGGCAACGTCCTTGCAGACGGCCAATTCTCTCACAACAGGAGCGGTTGCTCCTGACACAATAAAAAAATATTATTATTAACTAGCCATCGCATTGCTGTGGCTCAGTCTGATGATCTAGAAAATAAATGTAATTTCTCTATGCTTGTGGGTAAACCGTTCATGGGGTTCAGAATGCTCTGTTTGTAGGTGAACTGTAAATCCCAGTAACTACAACTCCCAAATGTCAAAGTTTATTTCCCCTAAACTCTATCTGTGTTCATATTTGGGCATATTGAGTATTCCTGCCAACTATGGTCCAGATCCATCATTGTTTGAATCCACAGTGCTCTCTGGATGTAGGTGAATTACAACTCCCAAACTCAAGGTCAATGCCCACCAAAACTTTGTAGTGTTTTCTGTTGGTCATGGGAGTCCTGTGTGCCACGGTTGGTTCAATTCTATCATTAGTGGAGTTCAAAATGCTCTTTGATTATAGGTGAACTATAAATCCCAGCAACTACAAACCCCAAATGACAAGTGATGGTCACTCCTTGGGTTAGTAGGTGTCTTGTGGCCAAATTTGGTGGCAATTTGTCCAGTGGTTTTTGAGTTATGTTAATCCCACAAATGAACATTACATTTTTATTTATATAGATACTATGACAAATAGGCCTACCTAATAGCATGCCCCATACTACACCATACGCTGCATTGACTTGGTATTATTGAAATACAGTCATTAAAAGATACATAAAAATAGTTATATTGTATTCTAAAAATACTTTTGTGAATGTAGTATTTATTTATTTACTTCATTTTTACCCTGTCTTTCGCACCCAAGGGAACTCAAGGCAGTTATCACCATTCCTTTGAATTATTTCTTGTTGTTGCAAGAGTCTACGGTACCAAGATATCTCCATCAAAATATTTGAAAATTGGGTACATTGAAGGAAATTGCATTCCCTTGTTGCCTTTTCTTTGGTATCTCAGGCCCCTTCCACACAGCTGTATAAAATTCCACATTATCTGCTTTGAACTGGGTTATATGGCAGTGTGGACTCAGGGCCCTTCCACACAGCCATATAACCCAGAATATCAAGGTAGAAAATCCCACAATATCGAAGTTGAACTGAATTATCTGAGTCCACACTGCTATGAAATCCAATTCTAAACAGATAATGTGGGATTTTATTCAGTTGTGTGGAAGGGGCCTCAAGCTCTCTACCTGCTTTGAACTGGATTACCTGAGGGCTCTTCCACTCAACCTAATAAAATCCCACATGATGTGTTTTGAACTGGGATATATGGCAGTGTGGACTAGGGGCCCTTCCACACAGCCCTATATCCCAGAATATCAAGGCAGAAAATCCCACAATATCTGAGTACAGATAACCCAGTTCAAGGCAGATATTGTGGGATCTTCTGCCTTGATATTCTGGGATATAAGGCGGTTTGGAAGGGCCCTATGAGAACCCAGTTTAAAGCAGATTTTGTGGGATCTTCTGCCTTGATATTCTGGGTTATATGGCTGTGTGGAAAGATCCTGAGTCCACACTGCCATTTAATCCAGTTCAGTATGGATTGTATACAGCTGTGTGGAGTGGGCCTTAGTCCACACTCAGACGTGGGATCTTCTGCTTTGATATTCTGGGATATAGGTCTGTATGGTAGGGCCCTGAGTCCACACTCAGATAATCCAGTTCAATGTGGATTGTATACAGCTGTGTGGAAGGGGCCTTAGTCCACACTCAGGTAATGTGGGATCTTTTGCCTTGATATTCTGGGATATAGGACTATGTAGTAGGGCCCTGAGTCCACACTGCCATATAATCCAGTTCAACGTGGATTGTATACAGCAGGGTGGAAGGGGCCTTATTCCACACTCAGATAATCTGGGATCTTCTGCCTTGATATTCTGGGATATAGGACTGTGTGGTAGGACCCTGAGTCTACACTGCCATATAATCCAGTTCAATATGGATTATATACAGCTGTGTGGAAGGGACCTTAGTCCACACTCAGATAATGTGTGATCTTCTGCCTTGATATTCTGGGATACAGGACTGTATGGTAGGGTCCTGAGTCCACACTGCCATATAATCCAGTTCAAGGTGGATTGTATACAGCTGTGTGGAAGGGGCCTTAGTCCACACTCAGATAATGTGGGATCTGCTGCCTTGATATTCTGGGATACAGGACTGTATGGTAGGGCCCTGTGTCCACACTGCCATATAATCCAGTTCAATGTGAATTGTATACAGCCGTGTGGAAAGGGTCTTAGTCCACACTCAGATAATGTGGGATCTGCTGCCTTCATATTCTGGATTATATGGCTTTGTGGAAGGGCCCTGAGTCCACACTGCCATATAATCCAGTTCAACGTGGATTATATACAGCTGTGTGGAAGGGGCCATAGTCCACATTCAGATAATGTGGGATCTGCTGCCTTCATATTCTGGATTATATGGCTTTGTGGTAGGGCCCTGAGTCCACAATGCCATATAATCCAGTTCAGCTGTGTGGAAGGGGCCTTAGTCCACTCTCAGATAATGTGGGATCTTCTGCCTTGATATTCTGGGATATAGGACTGTGTGGAAGGGGCCTTAGTCCACACTCAGATAATCTAGTTCAATGTGGATTGTATACAGCTGTGCGGAAGAGGCCTTAGTCCACATTCAGATAATCCAGTTCAATGTGGATTGTATACAGCTGTGTGGAAGAGGCCTTAGTCCACACTCAGATAATGTGGGATCTTCTGCCTTGATATTCTGGGATATAGGACTGTGTGGTAGGGCCCTGAGTCCAAACTGCCATATAATCCAGTTCAATGTGGATTGTATACAGCTGGGTGGAAGGGGCCATATATACAGACATATATCTCCCGTTTCCCAATGTGTTTATGCCATGTGTTGGTCCTGGAGACTGCCACAGAGTGCCCCCCACCCTCTCTTGTGTGTCTCAGCCACAGCACCTCCTTGATGCCATCCTGGGCGAGCATGTGTGCCCACAATGGCCCATCCCTCCATGTGTGGAGCGTGGAGACGCCTCCTGCCTCCGTCCCATCCGGGCTGCCCTTCTGCACGATGCGCCTTTGTGCGGAGCCTGGTCTTGCCAGCGTGGGCAATGCCAGGAGCGGAGAGAAAGAGGAGCAGAGCCCAGGGGGGTGGCTCTTTCCCCGCAGCCTCCTCTCCCCCTTGCCTGTCTCCTTGCGCAACACCAGCCATGGCACCCTTCCACACCCACCCGGGCAGCCTCGCTCTCTTTTCTCTCCCAGGCAAAAGCAGAGGGAGGCAGCAATGGGTCACAAAAGGCTCCCAGCCACCTTGCATGGAGAAAGGGAGCCCCCTCCCCAGACCCAGCTCCACGCCCAGCCCTTGCCTGCTGTGCTTACCTACCCCGAGGGCTGCTGGCAGGTGGCTCAAGCGAACTGGTGCTGCTGCTGCATGCCTCGCCTTTGCCTGCTCCTCCTTGTCATCCTTTACATCGCTCCCAGCGCCATGTCTCCTGCTGCCTGCGGTGCGCGTGCCTTGGCTGGCAGGCAGGCAAGCAGCGCGCGGCACTGGATCCCGGTCCACCTCCTTCTCCTCCTTCAAGCTCGTGCTCTTGCTGCTGCGGCTGCTGCTACATCCGGGCTGCCGCCGGCCAGGCCTCTCCAGCGCCTCGCAGCGGCCATCAAGAGGAAGTGCAAGGAAGTCGGCTAGGGATTCGGGCCAGCCAGGCAGAAGGGGCATGCATCTACTCAGCTGAACTGGCCAAAATGCCCCATCACCGTCTCCCAAAGCAGTCACTCCTCTGCTCCAAACTCAAGAAAGGAAAACGGAAGGTTGGTAGACAGGAAAATAATCTATATAAATAAAAATGTAATGTTCGTTTGTGGGATTAATAGAACTCAAAAACCACTGGATGAATTGACACCAAATTTGGACACAAGACACCTAACAACCCAATGTATGTCCTTCACTCCAAAAAATTGATTTTGTCATTTGGGAGTTGTAGTTGCTGGGATTTATAGTTCACCTACAATCAAAGAGGATTGTGAACTCCACCAATGATGGAATTCAACCAAACATGGCATACAGGACTCCCATTACCAATAGAAAACACTACAAGGGTTTGGTGGGCATTAACCTTGAGTTTGGGAGTTGTAGTTCACCTACATCCAGAGAGCACTGTGGACTCAAACAATGATGGATCTGGACCAAACTTGGCACAAATATTCCATATGCCCAAATATGAGCACAGATGGAGTTTAAGGGAAATAGACCTTGACATTTGGGAGTTGTAGTGGCTGGGATTTTTAGTTCACCTACAATCAAAGAGGATTGTGAACTCCACCAATGATGGAATTGAACAAAACGTGGCATACGGGACTTCCATGACTAACAGAACACACTGGAATGGTTTGGTGGGCATTGACCTTGCGTTTGGGAGTTGTAGTTCACCTACATCCAGAGAGCACTGTGGACTCACACAATGACAGATCTGGACCAAATTTGGCACGAATATTCCATATGCCCAAATATGAACACAGATGGAGTTTGGGAGAAACAGACCTTGACATTTGGGATTTGTAGTTACTGGGATTTATAGTTTACCTACAATCAAAGAGTATTCTGAATCCCACAAAAGACAGAATTGGAGCAAATTTCCCACACAGAACCCCCATGACTAACAGAAAATACTTAAGACCATCTGGTCCAACTCCCTTCACCAGGGTAAGAAAACGTAATCAAAGCCCTCCTGACAACAGGCCCGTAGCCAGGATTTTGTTTCGGGGGGAGCTGAGTTTGATTCGGGGGGGGGGGGGTGCTGAGTCTGAGTGAAAGAGGGTCTACCCTAGCAAACCTTTTGTATCATTACCCCAATACCCCCATGCATATGGGATATATTGAGCATGGTGATCAGATCATGATATGAATAAACATAACAGTTTAAATAATGTACCAGTAAGGCCTTCTCGCGGACCACCATGAGAATTGGGGGGGGGGGCTGAAGCCCCTCAAGCCCCCCCCCCCCCGGCTACATGCCTGCCTGACAAAGAGCCATCCAGCTATAGATATGATTCACACACAGAGAGAGATATAGTATCCTAGATTTGAAAGGGACCCTTAAAGAAGGACAAGGATATGTTGCATGTTCCAGAGTAGGCAGACCACACACTCTCCACATCAACACTGACAAAGAAACAACAAAAAATACTGTTTACCCACAAGCATCAAGATATTACATATATTAGAAACCAACACTTTCTCATTACTTTATTTTCCAGATCACCAGACTGGGCCACAGCAACGCGTGGAAGGGGACAGCTAGTATAGTAATAAACTTTATTTATACCCTGCCACCATCTCCCCAAAGGGGACTCAGAGCAGCTTACATGAGGCCAAGCCCAGTGATACATTACAGCAACATAAAATATAAAAAACAAAATAACATCATAATAAAATAAACAAACCCACCAAGTAAAATAAACAGTACAAAATAACATAATGGAAAATCAAACACAGTGGACGGGCCAAATGCATGACATAAAATGGTAAAACTCTGAATGAGATAGCAATAAAAAAGATACAATTGTGGGGGAGGAGCTCGTAGGGGACGGAACAGTGGAATTAGACTTTCAATAAGTTGGGGAAAGTGCAATATGAGGTAAACAGTATAGGTGAAACAACAGGATTGGAATATATGGTCATTCTCCAAAGGCACATCAGAAAATCCAGGTCTTTCGATCTTTTTAAAGGCTGCTAAGATGGGCTTAAAGCCAACCTCAAGAGGTTTAAAGATGGGCATAAAGCCAACCTTAAAAACTGTGGCATAGACACCAAAAACTGGGAAGCCCTGGCCCTTGAGCGCTCTAACTGGAGGTCAGCTGTGACCAGTAGTGCTGCAGAATTTGAAGAGACACAAATGGAGGGAGAAACATACCAAGAGGAAGGCACATCAAGCCAACCCTGACCTGGACCACCTTCCATCTGGAAACTGATGTAATCACTGCGGGAGAACATGTGGATCAAGAATAGGGCTCCACAGCCACCTACGAACTCACTGCCAAGACACTACATCTGGCAGACCCTCATCCTCGAGCTACAAGGGATCGCCTAAGTAAGTAATGTAGTTTGAGTCCCTGAGAGCCTACACTTCTTCTTTCTGAGCTATTTCCCCAATGGAGAGATTAGCATTGTGATTGTTGTTTCCACAGGGCTTTGTTTTGGGCATCCTCAGCTCTCACTGATGTCTTTGTTGCTGGTGTCCATCCAAGCCTATAGCCAAGGGGGTAGTTTATGGGTTCAAACCTACACAACAATGAAGCCAAAAGGAAATTGAAAGTTACCTGAGAAGGTCAAGAGCTTGAACATTGTTTCCATCCACAATATCTTGGTGTCACCTTCGATCGGATACTAACATATAGGAAACATTGAATGAACACCAAGCACAAAGTAGCTGCACACAATAACATCATGTGGAAACTTACTGGGAGCACATGGGGCGCAGACCCAAAATTAATAAGATCATCAGCCCTGGCCTTATCTTAATCAACTTCTGAGTATGCCTTCCCTGTTTGGCACAAGTGTGCCCATGCGAAGCAGGTGAACATAGCATTGAACAAACCATGCAGAATAATCACAGGATGTCTTAAACCTACACTGTTGATAAACTCTACAAACTAGCTGGCATTCCCCCCCCCCCCCCCAAATGTGCAATGGGAAGTTGTTGCTAACAGTGAGATAAATAAGGTTGAACATTATGAAAGCCATCCACTGCATGGCTTTCAGCTCCTCCCAGCAGACTCAAATCAAGGAAAAGCTTCATGAGAACCATCATTCCTCTTAATGTTCCCCCAGCAACAGCAAGAGAATCCCTCTGGGCTACTAAACCAGGAAATGCCAATTGGATGCCCCCACCCCACGAGGGTCTTCCTACAGAGGCAAACCAAGAATGGGCAACTTGGACGTCCCTGAACAGACTCAAAACAAAGTGGGCAGATCAAAAGACAACCTGGCAAAATGGCACTACGTAAAAGAATCCCCCACTTTGTGTGACTGTGCAACAGAACAGACAACTCCGCATATGTATGCTTGTCCGCTATGCCCTGCCTCATGGCAGTGTCGACTCATATAATCCAGTTCAAAGCAGATCATGTTTATTATCTGCTTTGATAATCTAGATTATATGGCAATGTAGAAGGGCCCTAAGATTATCTGCTTTGAACTGGTTTATATGAGTCTACACTGCCATATAATCCAGTTCAAAGCAGATAATCTGGATTTTATATGGCAGTGTAAAAGGGGCCTGAGAAGGCCCTCCATTCTACTGATTATAGCCTGCTTTTCTCCTGATAATGGGACTCAAGGTGGTCAATGATATCTTTAGAAGCAATACAAGTTCAAACAATACAAAAATCAGAATAAAAGTATTAACAGAAGAGTAAAAATAACTCAATTAAACAGTTTGTGAATGAAAATATTAAACGTTAATATATTAAGAGGCAATTTAATTGAAATTTGAAAAATGCATGCCAACTCTTTATACATGTTATGTAACTTCTCTGTGTAGGAGCTCAATGTGATTTATGACACCAGTGGGTTCAAATGAACATCATAACAAATGGTGAGACATGTAGTAATCACAATGGATTAAAAATATTTATCTATCACATGTGGCATCCTATAAGATGTGAGTTAATATCATTGTATTGATCAGAAAATTTTTCTCCTTATGACTTTGTCCTACCTTTCTTCTGACAAATGTAAGGCAGCCCCTTCAGCTCCAGTCACTTAATGAACTTTGTAGCCGAGTGAGAATTTATAACTTTAAAAAACCTGGATGCAATGATTATATGATTATATTCACTGCCGTACAAATGTGTATTTTTGACCCCCTCCCCCCATTTGTTGTTTGATTTTTTTTTAGGAGATGGAAAGATATTTTAAAGCAACGGATGGCAAAATCTGTATATACAGAATACATGAATATATGGAGGGCCATCTGTAAATAAAGTAAGATAAACAGCTTCAAATTATTCATTGCACTCTTGAAAAATGCACGCCTGTCACTTGCAGGAGCAGCATATTTGCGGAATGGCAAATGGCTGAATTGAGCCAGTCACAGCTGTTCTGTATATGTTTTCATCTTGGGTGAGGATAGTAACTGATGCTGAAGATAATGTTGACTTCAATTTGCATTTTAAAAAAGATCATTTTCTTTTCACAATTTGAAGCATTCAGAATATTGCAGCAGGTTTGCCAGGCTTCCCTCTGCCACCTTGAAGCTACATGGATTAATTTTAGTAATCTCATCATGAGATGGTTTGTTGGTTTCTCTGTTGCCGATTTCTGCCGATTTCCTGAGAGTGGGAGACATTGTGAGAGCTAACTTCATCCAGACCATATTGCTGCTGCTGTATTCCTTCAAACCATTTCTGATTTATGGCAACCCTAAGGTAACCTACTATAGGGTTTTCTGAGACTGTGAGTGTATGAGTTACCCAAAGTGGGTTTCCTTGGATGAGAGGGAAATTTAATCCTGATCTTTGGAGCTGTAGTCCAGTGCTCAAACCACTACACCACCCAGACCATGGTATAACACTCCTC